TATATATATTATATATATATATATATATATATACATCTATATTATATATACACATTATAAATGTATACATTTGTTTCTATATGCATATGAAAAATTATATAACATAATATGCATATATATTTAATAAATTCATATATTATATATATTTATATATATTAGTATATTTAATATTTATATATACAACATATGTATATAAATATATATTGTATTGTATATGTGAACAGCATACATGGTATACATACACATTATGTACTATCATTTATCTATACCTCTCATGTGACGAAAAAGCAACAGACCAAATCAGAACAGAAACCAACCAGAATGAAAAATACCCCCAAAAGATAAAATGCATAAAACGTTTACATATTCTTTAATATTCTTTACAACCGAATTGGCTTTATACATACAAAATTATTATTTACACAGGCAGACAAAAGCTTATATCTAGAGTGATAGGAGAATTATCAATATATCAAAAATACAAGACATACAAACCATTATGTTGTATACATACCAACATGCACTTTATGGTTTAAGGGGCTAAGTCTGTGATAATTATTATAAGGTTGGACAATTCATTGCCAATGCATTAACATTCAATGCGTATTAGCATAAGTGTACCCAGTTCAAAATTCAACTACCATTTTTTTTTGTGTTACATGTAATTGAAACTACATCAGTGGAACTCACAACTGAAGCGATATTACCAAAGTCTGTTAGATTAAAATATAATAATCAATTTAATGATATCCAACATTATATTATTTTTCATACAGAGAAGGAGAAGGGAGAAAATATGTGTGGAGAGAAGGGGAAAGGGCATGTAATCACCTATTAGAAACTAGTTGTAAAATTCCTGCATCACTTCATTAAGAAAACTGACCTTAGCTTATGTTGGCCTGTGTGCATGCCTTACTCAAGAAAATGTTTGAAATGTCAAGGAAAGTGCTTTAGCATTCCATACGCACAAGAAAAAGCACTATAAAAGCAACCAATAACAACCCAGCAAACACAAAATGTTCTTATAACATTCGCAAACGTTGTGGTTAAGTAACGTCACAAAATAATGTTCACACAACGTTGTAGGAACCTTCAAATGTTATGACATTGTAAAAGTTCGTACCTATGTTTTTTACAAAATAAAGTTTTTTAACACTCAGCTGAATGTTCTTGTAATGTAATATTGTTAGCTGGGAAGTTACTAATGGAAGAAAAATATGAACAGAGCTAAAGAATTAAAAAAAAAAAAACCAGAAGAAAATTAAAATTTTAAAGAATTAATAAAGTAGAATAATAATAATATGATAGTCAGTATATCGGATATTATAAAAGGTCATTAAAATTAATTATTTTTTAAAGAAACTAAATGATGTATAAGTAGGGTTTTCTTATAAAATGTTCAATAAAAGATATCATAGAACGAAATATAAGATCCGACTCAATATGGATTAAAAACAAATAAATTTGAATGCGTGCACAGTTTTCACTCATACAGATCAAAACACTTCAGTTTTTATTATCGAAGACTGATCAAATTCCAGCATGGACATATAACATTAAACCAGATGGACAAATCTTGTCTAGAGTTTGAAATCCAAGATTTGATGGATTTAGTGTAATTTAAATTCTGGATTTCGCATACCATCATCCGGAGAAGAAGCGAGATTGGGGAACAGTTCTCAATAAAGCAAATACCAAGACTGTCTACGTGATACAAGAGTAAACAGTGGAACGTTGAGAGTAAACGCCGGCCTAATTGGCAGACTCCTTGTCGGGTAATAGAAAACTTGCAGTAATGCGAAAATTCACGATTCGTTTCTTATTTTCATATCTTTGCGTTGACTCTTAAATGTTTATATAGCTGAGAGTAAATTTGCGTATGGTAATACTGATGAGGCATTTCTACGGCTTGATTAATAACTCTCTCAATTGTTTAATTTTGTGATAACTTTAATGATCATTAAATAAATACATTATCAATATTCTGTCCAATTTTTAGGAAATTTTTATATATTGCAGAAGTACAGTAGTATCACATTACTACATTAATTTCACTTTCAAAAAATGTAACAGCTTAAAAAATCAATCAATTAATCAAATCATCACTGGTTGTAAATTAAATGTTATCAGAGAAAAGGGGTGATATTATAGATATTCATGTGTCCTAAAATATAAAATGGAATGAGATTCACAGGTGGTGTAAAATATACGGGTGACCTAAAATATGTCAGAATCTTGGGATACACGTGTCCAGAGGATATAATGAAGTGTCCTAAGTTATGCAGGTTTCCTAAGATATCAAAGGGAATGAGATCCACAGGTGGTGTAAAATATACAGGTGTTCTAAGATATATAAGAATCTACAAGAACTGTGTCCTAAGTTATGCAGGTGTCTTTGATTATGCAAGCATCATAAAATACACAGCTGGCCAGATATGTGTTGGTGTCCTGAGAGATACACAGATGGCATTGAGATACACAGCTGGCCAGATATACGCAGGTGGCTAACTGAAGATCTATAATAAGTGTTTTACTCATACCGTCGTCTTCAGGAGCAATCCAAGTTTTATACAACACACAAGTGCTCCAAAATATACAGGCGATATACTGCATTATATACATGTGGCCAAAGGTTCACGGCAACATCTGCGGTACACATGTGCTAGCTGGGGATCTGCTGGTGGCAGTCATTTCATAACCTTTAACTTTGCCACGGACATTTTGTACCAAATGTCCGGTAGAGTTACCAAAAATCTGTTCAGTAAAGTGAAAGGTAAGAAAGACAGATAGATGCCAAGATGTTGTGTTGTTACATGCAGTATGGTACACAATGATTTTGCAATGCACCAGAGTTTGTCTATAAGGAATATCTCTATTTTTTTTTTAATTGATTACTGGTTACAATTGTTAGTCTATTTTTTTTAATTGATTACTGGTTACAATTGGCAGCCCAAGGACAATAAATTTGGATATCATTAAATCAGAAACAATCAAGGGATCAATGAGATGAGGTTAGGAATTAACAAAACAAACTAAAAAGAAAATCACTATTAATAATACTAATTTAGTTCCTACAATGTTATTCTATTACTTTACTAATCATCTCTAGGTCAGTTACTAACTGTTTTTTACAAGTAATTTCTATGTGTATACCTATCTATATAGTTATTTTACAATACAAAAGATAATGTAATAAAGTATATAACCAGATAACCAGCTAATGAAGAAGCAAGACATAAAATAGTATAAAAAGTATAAGCAAGGAGAAAGAGAAACAAAAACAGATGGTTAAATATCATTATTATTATCTATTATAATATCTTTGTATTACCTAGTTACCTATGTGAAATGAGAAGATTCTGAATGCACTTAAACTTAACCAAATTCAAATTTAAGTGCACTCTGGTACATAGTAATCTATATTTTTTGGTTAGTAATTCTCGTCAACAAACATTAAAAAAAGTTTAGTTTGTGTAGCCAAGAGGATATTGAGAAGAAAAAAGACTGGATATATTAACAGTATTAGAGTCTTTTTACCAGAAATGTTTAAAGTATGTACAAGCCTTGTCAAGTTAGTTATTATTAGTTCAAAGAAATCCTTGCGGAAAATATGTAAAATACACTTTTTTTTGCCATTTTTCATAGACAACTATACAATAATGTTAATTATCATAATATACAACATAGTAGTTTCACAACTATTTACAATTTGTATCAATGGTTGAAATGTATATACTTGGGTAAAAATATGATATTCTTAATGATTTACATTTACTTTCTACACAATAGATGAATAAGAGACAAACCTGCCGTACAAAAGCTGATTAAGTTAAGCTACCTGCCTCGGGATGAAGTTGGTTGAGCAAAGAATATTGGACACTACTCCAAATGAAGCGACATGCAAGTTTCTTTTGATATGCAGATACTAAATTCTCTTTATCCACCATGATTCAAATGTTACAGAACACATTCAAACGCATTTTTAATTGACCAATTGATTATATTCAACTCAGCACTTTCCTCACGTACTTGAAAATTGGTGCAACTTTTGCCTTACGAGAAAAATATTTTTAAATACGGTATATTTGCTCACTTCTTCACAAGGCAAATTTGGCACTGAAAATCACATGCGCTTGAGTTATGGGGGCTAATCCCATGCGAGGTTGAAGTTGAGTTGGTTCCACACGAGATTGGAAGCTTAGCTGGTCCTATAAGAGGTGGGTAACTAGGCTCAGGTGACTAGTAGCTCTGCTAGTTTCATGTGAGGCTGGCAGCTCGACTGAATGTGCACTCATGCGGCAGACTTTAGGCATATAATATGTACTATAGGCTAAATAAACACAATACTATCATTTACAAATACTCAAGATAACCCACACACACTAATCCAGGAACCCAATTCCCAGTAAGCATTGGTTTATGCACAAATTTTTGCTTAACCCTATTTTCATATATACAGTATAAAAATTCACTATTATTTACTCTACTCATTAAATTAAGAAATCTCCCATAAAATATAAATAAATTGGGAAAATAAACTTAAGAAACCCAACCAAATAATGCATGCAAAGAGAATGATTTATAGTTTATAAAATGCCTGAAAAAACCCATTGTACTTGAAAATGATTATGACAGATATAGTTCAGAATTATTTACTGAATTTGATATAAATGCTTGTGTGTATATATTATATATATATGCACATATATTTCTTTATATTATGTGGAGCGTGTTAAAAAAAATTTTAAAAACTAGTTAAGAATACATACTGTTTTTACAACTTTTGCACATAACAATATTGCAAAGTTTGTTCACATGTACTAAAGTTGAAACGTGTAAGTCATGAACTGAAAAAATGAATACATACATTTATAAATACATTTTAAAATGAATAACTTATAAAATGCAACAAGTTGTCTTTCTCAATCACTTTTAAACTTCTCTATATATAAATAGACTCACAAATACCAAAGCAATACAAATTAAATGATTTGGTATAGGAGCTTATTTGACCAATTTGATAAATATCTGCTTAAACAAATAAAACACTTATTTTAGAGTGAAGAAGAGATTATGTTACTGTATATTAAAAGAAGGATCAGTTTGAAACATGTCCAATAAGACATAAATTTTCAAAGTATTCTTCATAATAATGAAAAAATATGTTTATGATTACAAAATAAAGTAAAACTATTTCATTTCACCAACACTCAACAGAAAGCCAAGTGGACATAAATGATCCATAGCTGTATAT